TAGTTGTATATACGCAAAATCATGAGAATATGGGACATAAGTCATGTGTCATATTAGCGTGACAACGTCGTCATTTGACGGCAAACATTATACTATATAAATGAAAATTATTACATACAATTTATCGCTCATCATTGCGTTTTTTTTTCTTCCTATAAGTTTGCAAACCACATATACAAATATGAACCGTAAGTTATTGTTGAAAAGATGATTTCTGTCATTCATTCACAAGATAAGTTTATTTCTGTCTTTCTTTGAATAGGTTACATTGTCAATAGTCTCGAACGCAATCTTGGAATTGATTTAAATGGTGATGGATACATTGGAGGACAAGGTAGATATAGATATATTAAATATGTTTCGTACTGTTGCTCTACAAAAATGATTGTCTATTATGTTTAGGTTTCTGGAGTTCGCTTGAACGAGCAACAGGCATTGATTTTAATGGCGATGGCATCATTGGTCGTCCGTTCGATGTGATGCCTCGTTATCCAATGGCATATCCTTCAATGGGCTATGGTTTTTACGGCTATCCCATGAGAGGCTATCATATCTTTTAATGACAGAATAATTTTTTTTCATTACTAACACTAATTTTTAATCAAAAATAAATCCATGATGAAAGATGAGCGAACAAAATGACGCAAATTGACAGTTTTCAAGAGAATAAAAGGACAATTTCATTGATAGAATACCTCATTTCAAAAAAAAAAAAAAGTTGACAGATAAGCACGAATGTTATAAAATACTCTTTTAATAAACTCGTTATCATTATGTGTATATTGAACAATTGGCAATAGAGACCCAGTGAAAAATATTCCAAAAAACGCCGAAAGTGTACGTGTTCGTTAGATTAGAGAAAAGTTTCTTATCCATGAAGATCGTGTTCCATAACTTACTGAATGCCTTCATAATCTACAAGAATACGTTCTCTATTTGAAGAAACGCGTTCTTTGCCGTTTCTCACTATTATAGAATCCTTTCTTCTCGGTCCTAAATCGTTCCTGATCTGAGTAGAAAACGTTCTAAACCGTTCTGTTAATTATGAGAATGGTTTCCTTTCCATTCTTCTTTGGAAAAGTAAGGAACGAATTTCTTCAAAACAGGATGGCTTTATTTGATGTTCTCAACAGAATCGCTCAAGAATAGATTTTTTTTAGTTGATGAATCAGTTCAAGACGGCTCAACGTCCTTCTTAGAAAAAAAAGAACGTGTTTTCTGTCGTTCCACTAAGGATGTGGGGTGTGTGGGTGTGGGTGTGGGTGCGGTATGGGTGTGAGTGTTGGTGCGTGTGTGGGTGTGGGTTGGTATGGATGTGGATGTGTGTGGTATGGGTGTGTGGTGTGGGTACGCGTGTGAGTGTGGGTGTCGATGTGGGCGTGGGTGTGGGTCTTCTTTGTTCAAACACCAACACTCTCACAGCCACGCCACATCTACCTCAAACCCACCATACCTTAATCCACACCCGCCCACACGAACACGCACACGCACACGCACACCCACACCCACACCCACACACCCACTCACACCCACACCAAGACCCCACACCCACACCAACCCACACCCACACCCACCCACACACCCACACCCACCCACACCCATCCCATACCCACACACCCACCCACACCCCACACCCATACCCACACACCCACACTCACACCCCACACCCACACCACCCACACCTAGATCCACACACCCACCCACACCCACACCCCACACCCATACCCATACCCACACACCCACACTCACACCCCACACCACCCATACCCCATCCTTCTCGTAAAAATGAAGTATTCCTTCATGAAAAGGAAATGAGTTAGAAAAATAATTTCTTTGTGTAAAAAAAATCAAGAACAAAAAAATACCCAGAACATAAATGACTATTGTATTGTATGTTATCATCATTCGAGTATATTAATTATGATGATTACTGATTGATCTTGAAACATTAAGAAATTCTTTTTGTTAGTGAAATCAATTTTTTTAACAAAAGAAAAATAAAACAATATGCAGAGAGTTTTGAACAATTTTCATTCAAACTTGAAAGTTAAATAGAACCATCTCTTATAGAAATCGACAAATCTCATGATATTTCTATAAATATTATCTTTGAAGATAGTGTAATTATTTAATAGCATTTCTTTCATGTAAATCAATCTATTTTCTAATAAGTATTTATAAATACACGAATGAAAAGTAGATTCGATTTCAACAAGAAAAAAATACTGGCAATAACTACCACTAGTTTCTTCTGACATATAAAATTTTCTATAAGACTTTCCATTTTAAATAACTACTCATAGAATAATTCTACATGAATTTAATAAAAAAATTTCCATACGCCAACAGAGGTACAGCATCTACCTGTGTGCGGGAACGCACATTTGGAGAAATTCTTGAAAATTTCAAGATCGGAAAACTTTTCAAAGAATGTGTTTCTCTACGGAGAAATCATAAAATCAAAAAACGATTTAACTAGCTTATTTGTTCTTTCCTTGTCTATTAGTTTATAAACTTAGGTCTTTATCTAATTTGCACGCACAACGTTCGTCTTTGAATGCCATTTTCCTTTCAGCACTGTGTCTTGTTATTTACTCTTCTTAAACGTTACCGTTCTTTTATTTAAATGATCAATGAGCGTCCATGTAAAGACATAATAGTATCAACTTTGATAGTAGTAGAACATTTTACGGCAGGATATAATAAAATAATTACATAAATGTACAACAATTTATATTGATCTCTAGACAAAGAATTCGAATATAACAGATTATATGTGCGAATAATATATTGCAATTTATCTCATTTATTAACTATAATAAGTTATCTGAAAATGATTCTGTATGAAGCTTTTTTCTCGCAATAAAAGACTGCCATTTAGAAAATAATCCAGACGGATCAACAGATCATGGTATTTCTATTATTGATTCGTTAAAACTGGAAACTGCTAAAGTTTTCAGTAATGCCTCATTTGGAGATCAAGAGGTTGCCCAAAGTTCTACAAAGGCTTCACCAAAATTTACCTCTTTCAACATAAAACAAGTTGTTTAAATAAATCGACTCTCAAAGAATATCTCAAAGACTATATTCATATTAGAAGACAGTTTCGATGCAAGTGATCTGAAAAACTCGAATAGAAACTAATAGTCTTCTATTATGGAAGGGACTCTAATCGATTTTGATGATTAAAAATTTTTTGTAGCTGTTCTATGTTCATAACATCACTTTATTAAGTTTTCTTTGCATAATAATTGATTACAATCACAATGAATTTCGTTTTTTTCTACATCACAATCATTTGTGACACCTTACCGATAGCTCGCTTTTGTTATTCTGTTTTTATGAATATGCATCCTCAAACAATAACACTCTTTTCTCTTCTTTTTAGGAGAGAAAATGTTTCGAAAAACTTTTCGGTTTTAGGAAAATTTTTCATTGTTGCGGCAGATTTTACACCTCTGTATGTCAGATACTCATGATCTCGAATGATTCTATGTTTTATGTAACAAAGTCAAAAAAGAAAGAAATATCGCCGTGAAAAATGGTCCAAAGGACATGTTTTATTGTAAAATTAAAAAAAATCTATAGCATTTTTAATACCATCATATTAAAGATTGTCAGTATGACATCGAATTGATGCTGCTTTGGCTTGTTTCGGAATATTCATTACTTTTACATTTGCAATATTTCATAGTTGTTGTTAATTTATTCAATTCGGAAAATATATTCGTTTGCTATGAGAAATACACTATAAGTATATCAAAAACAAAAATATAACCAATTGCAGAGTTTTTTTAAAATAGATTCCATTATCATGAGCGAAAACTAGAAAAATTTCAGGAAAACTTGCGTAAATTAAGAACTATATTGATAGTATGTGTTTGGACGTCGAAAAAGGTTTGCTCGTCTCCTTCTCATCTTTACTTCGACATTCTTTATGGATGAACCCTCAGCATTCCATATAAGATCAAGTATCTCTTTCTATGGACAAAATGTAAGAAATACGTATAACATAATGAATATATGAGTCAGAATTATTATATTTTGCAGTAAGGGAGTCAAAGCCAAATTCATTAAAACATGTATATATTGTTAATCTACGTAATAATGAAAGAGAGATTTATACCATAGGACTACATAAATTAATGATTGTACGATTGATATCTGATTCTCATCTGCACAACAGGATTTTCTATTTTCAGAGAATTGATAGATGATTTCAAATTCTTTTTTTTTTTTTATCAAGAAAGAGTACTTTATTTTTCATTTAGTTTGAAAGAAAACTTCAAAGGGAAACAACAATTCGATTTGAAACTGGTATCTAGTAATATTAAACTCGAAGTGAACTTTGATTAATATCCATGGAGCTTCTTAAGAATAGATCTTATAGTTTTTATTCTTATCGTGAGACATTTCATACAAATCAAATATTCATCCAAAGATAGGAAGGATGAGTTGAAAAAACTTGTTTTTTTTATCTATGTTACATTACTTCTATTGATAATCGATCAAATTAGTTCATTTTTGCCTTGTTTCACATGAGAAGATAAAGCAAAGTGAGACGAACATTTTCTTGCCTCAGAAATAACATTTGAAAACTTACTTCTCAGAACATGCTAGAGATTGTCAAAGTACTCTTCACCTGGAATGATTCGAATCACCCTAACTGGCGTAATTCAGATCACTAGCTAAAGGCTATCATCATTATTATAGAAATTCTAGAGATAAATTTTTTTACATTTTAATATAGATTCCTGAAAAAATCTTTTTTCTCCGATGTAAGATAGTTCAACAATGGTTGAGATAAATAAATTTTTTTTTAATAGCAATCTGCATGATACCAAATGGCTACATTCGTTATTGTAAAATCATCTCGTGTTATTATTAATTCTATTCTCATTGTTACCTTTTTTAAATGCAAAATTACAATATCATAATGAAGATTTCAGATGGCAAAAAAATACTTACAGCTACTCGGCTTTTTTAGCTAAGATCTAAGTATGGTATCTGTTCTTGTCGATTTGAAAGCTAGCGTTGGTTCCATTAGGTTTAGGCTCTTTCAAGTGAATTTTTAGATGTGAGTTGAGATCATTCTGGTTCATCCGAACTCATGTCATAAACCGTTTCGACATTACAGTGTCATCTGGTTTACTTGATTTGGATATAATGGAATGAGCCTCGTTATTATCTAATAGAACTGCTCAACATATTATTCTTCGCTAAAAATTGGCAGCATGGAACTGTAGAGTTAATATCAAGTTACTTTGTAAAAGAGAACAGCTAGCGAATGTTTTATATTCATATCGAGAAAACAATTAATACTTCTATTATTCGTTGTCTGTAGACCAAGAAATTAATCTGATTGATATGAGTCATGAGCAAGGTTGAATACATGTTAGCTTATTATATTCGAAATGAATCTTGTGCAACAATCAAGTTACTTATGAAATTATAATTTAAATATCAATGTGAGAAAATAATTTACAAAGATCTGCATTTGAACACGTCTTTTTTCTTTTAACACGCGAACAAATGGTTGAAAATCATATTCCACTAGACACAAAAAGATATATGTCTTTCAGGATACTTTCGATACTTTCAATTTTTTTGTTCAAGAGATAAAACAATATTTACTCCTAGTGTCTAGTGCCTGCGAAAACTTTTCAGTTCGACCAAACATAGCATCGAAAGAGAGAAAGAGCAATATTCTTAACCTATTATCGATTGTAATTATCTTAGTTTTGATGCTCACAAAACCTAACTCAAATTCGAAGAAGACTATTAAATCGACGTAATACAGCTCTTGGACATCGTCATCGTACAGTTTCTGGCTCAGCATCACCAATACCAAGTGCACCACCTCGTACACGAAGTCCATGGCTGACTAAAGATTATGAAGTACCAAAGGGACTTCAATTTCCAATCATTAGTACACTTTTTCATGATTCTGTTGTTGCTAGCGATGGTCATACATATGAACGAGAAGCTATTATTCGTTGGATTCAAAGAAAGAGAGAATATGTTTAATTAAACGTGAACCGATGTCGATTGATAAACTTAATCCAAATTGTATTGTGAAACAAAAAAAGATGATTGATGATATTCATGCGGAGTATCGACGAAAAAAAATTATTCTATAACTATAAACTTGATGTTGATGTAAAAAATACTGAACAAGTACCTTTTATAAAAATAGCTACGCAAGTGTTTTATCGAGTAGAATGGCCTAAGAAAGCTTCATCATCAAACGACTCAAATATTGTTCTTGTACATTTAACTGGTGAAAATGCGCAACAAAATTACAAAAATTAATTATTGTATCGAAACACATTCAAACATTATTCGATTGTTAGGTGGAGTTGAACAAAAGGATGCAGTTATTCTTCTTATACAACAAAATTTATTTGAAAAAACATTCTTTCAATTAATGAAAGATTAACATCAGACATTATCAATTAATATTGTTGACATTATACTATATCAAATCGCTTCAGCTCTTCAATATCTTCATGGCACCATGGGCGGCGGAGCCATTAGGCTTGGGGAGGCTCGGGCCTCCCGTAGAAAAATATATGGGAGGCTTGGGGAGGCTCAAATACTAAAAATTATTTTAAAGATATAATCGCAAGTTTACGTCATATTAGCGAGAACTCTTTGAACAAAGGTTGTCTCGTGTTTTTTGAATGGTACACCCAGTCAAATGTTAGATAGTCCATGTGTATCACTATATTTGTAGTGCCTATATGACTTTCGGATCACAAACATTTATCTCTGTTTCAGTTTTACAAAAAATTTTGAAGTAATAGATGAACATGAATCTTTTGACAGACGAAATCTTTACTAAATAGCGTCGAAGCATGTCTTTCTTAAAAGAACAAGAAAAAAAATGACTATAATCACTAATATTCACGTAGTTAGTGTGAATATGTTATCAACTAATTTAACTGACCGCATTAAAACTCCCTGTTTATAACACATAACGAACATACAGAATGTGCCAAAGGTTACTATTGAAAATACATGTAACTCCTGTAACAATGAAGCTTAACACAAAACTTATTTTATTTGAAAGAAGAGACTAACATGTCTGTATTATTAAAGACCCGTTTCAACAACAATGTAGCAAAAGTGGAATTTTCGAATACAAAAAAGAATAAAATGACGTTTTTCTCTATGTGGAAAACGATATGAAGCGTTTTTTCGATATCTATTAGAATTTCAATAGTTATTAGGAACTTCAAATCATTCAAATCTATCCTCATGACTTTACAAATACTCATCCTGATATATTCTCGAGAAAAAGGAGCAAGAAAGCCAATATTAATAATAACATGTGTTGTTAAATAGTTCAACGCACACTTTTCATGGCCTTAATGGTTTTCGAAGAGGCACGAACGACCTACCGAGGGAAAACGCATCAGTTATTGGTTCTTTTCAAAATGTGTCAGAAAATGGCTGTCAAGCAATACTGAAAGATCTAAATGATCTGAAGTGCACAATGACGAACAAAGTTCTAGTAGATATAGAAAGTAACACTGTATTGTTTTTGACATAGAAAAAGCCTAATGTTTTTCTTTTTGTAGCTACAAATCCTGCTTTTGCTACGTTGTTGATTAACTTGATCTTTAAGAACAAAGTGTCCCTAGGCTCCCATTTGAAATAAAAAATATTAGATTCAGCTTGAATAATAGTGGATTGAAATGGATTTAATAAGTCACAATGACTTTTGGCACATTTTATTCGCTGATCACTTTTAGTCATATGGATATCCTTCATATGAAGAAAAATGAGTTTACGTGGAATAGAAGAATAGCTGCAGTGGTTCATTCAAAAAAACCAGCATGAAATCATTTTCGGTCGTGAGAAGTGCTTTTAGCTCTGCCTTGCTATATTCATATTAGATTAGGTGTAAGATTTTTATGTACATGCTAATTACCCAATAGAAAAGTTAACGTTGCCGTAAAAATTTTCACTATGGTTCAAATTTTGACATGAATAAATCCAAAAATGCGTTTAAAATATAGCGAACATTATAAAAAGTAGAAAATAGTTCCTTTTTTGTTTCATCTCTCATCATTTCCTAGGAAAAAATTTTGAGCCTCCCCTAAATTAAAATCGTTCCGCCGCCCATGCATAGCACTAATATAATTCATGGGAATGTTACAGCTGATTATGTATTTATATATTTCTTGCATGAAGTACCAGACAATACTTCCATTAAATTAACAAATATTGGTGGGATATGGGTGTGGGTGGGTGTGTGGGTGTAGTTGGGTCTGTGAGTGTGGGTGTGGGTAGGCCGGTATGTGGGTGTGGATGTTGTTCTCCTCTTAAACCCACACGCACACCCACACCCACACCCATCCACACCCAGAAAAAGTAACCAGTAATTGAATGTTGCTACAGGCACAAAAATCGATGCACTTTTTTCCATCCGAAAGTTGATCAAACAAAAATTACCCATTGAAGTGTCAAACAGTCACTCTCTTCAAAAAAAAAAGCTACCTATTGTTTTACGAGAACAGCAAGAAAGAAAAGCCTGTGATTGTGTGGGTGCGATTATGGGTGTGGGTGTGGGGTGTGGGTATGAGGGCAGGTGTGGGTGTGGGTATGGGTTTCAATGTGGGCTTGGGTATGGGTGTGGATGTGGGTGGGGTGGGTGTGGATGTGGGTGGGTGTGGATGTGGGTGGGGTGGGTGTGGGTGCATGGGTGTGAGTGGGGTGGGTGTGGGTGCGTGGGTGTGAGTGTGGGGTGTGGGTGTGCGTGTGGGTGGGTGTGGGGTGTGGCTGGGTGTGTGTGTGTGGGTGGGTGTGTTGGTGTGGGTGTGGGGTGGGGTGTGGGTGTGGGTGTGGGTTGTGTTAGCAGAGAAACTATGAACCCACACTCACACCCACACACCCACACACCCACACACCCACACACCGACACCCACACCCACCACCCACACATCCACAGCCATACCCTAGTTTTCGAAACAAGCAAGGCCTGATTTCTTGATATGTTCCTGAATAGAAGGATGCAGAATTGATAATCGTGGACAGGCAAGGTAAATGATGACTCGGAGGAGATGAACAAAATTTTTAAACAAAAGGCATATGAACATGCAAACCAGTATAAAAGACAGCAGTGCTATGGCAATGTGAAGCATCGAATACCCAAATCTGATCGCTAAATTGATAGTATTCATATCAGTTTTCCAAAAAAAAACACATTCATTTGTAG